ACCTGCTGGAGGTGGCACCGGGGGCGAGGGGCCGGTGTCCGCCGGTGCGCGGCCCCGGTGCCGCTTGAGCGCCCCTCCGGCCGGCCGGGCTTAGGGAGGGGGTGGTGTCCGGGCTGCGGCTGGGGGCGGACTCCCTTCCCCACCTGCCTGTCCCTGCTCCAGCCAGCTCCCTCTGGTCTCCTCGGGCTGCTCAGCTGTTACGAGGCTAGGGCAGTGGGACTTAGGTGGCGGTGTCGCTTACCGGGCGCGCTGTCTGCGGGGGGGGGAAGTATTTTTGAAGTGTTTTAAAAAAACCAGGCTAGTGGAGTTGGCCCCTTGGTTTCTGCATAGACTAAAAAACATACAGAGAAGTAGATGTTTGTGGCAAGTTTGGGATAACTGGGCCAAAAGAGGTGTTTAGAGTCATAATCCACAAACTCCAAAACCTGTTCTTCATCTGAATTAGAAAAAGAGTACATTTGTTTAACTTAGTGACTGTTTATGTACTTTTTTTTTTATTTAACTTAGTGACTATGTGTTTCTCTACTTTTTTTTTTCGTGGGGTAGAACATATTCTTATAGCTTGCATTACTTGGTAGAAGTAAGCCCTGGCTAACTTATGTTAAAGTAGAGCTTGCCTTCTTTTAGAGGCTATCTGAGGATTTTACGCTGGCAATTGTTTTATGTGTTATGGCTTATACCAACAGTTTCTTGTGGTCAAAGCTTTGCACAGTTCTGTAAATTCTCTCATGGGTGTATCTGCATCCATTCTTCCTATTGTTAATTTTTCATGTGCTAGTTAGGCAAAGTCTTGCTGACAAAACTTTGATGTTCTGAAAGAAATTAGATTTATTTGTTCTGGTTTATATTTGTAGTATTTTGTTAACGTCATTCTGCAGTTAACAATTGTAGAAGCATTGGGTGTGCAGCATTAGGTGGAGTGTCAAGCTGTTAAACAAACGTGTGTAACTTGAGTTAAAACCTCTTTTTCATTGTCTAGACAAATTGCAAGTGCACCTACATGGGAATGTGTTTTCTTCCATCGGTAGAAAAATATCTCTTGTGGGCTTTTTTTAAACTGGTCTACAGTCTGTTGTCTGTATTCTGTACCTGCCTTCCCTGCTAAGCAAGTGTTACAGTAGCAGTATAGGTGAAGCAGTCAGGACTTGTGGTGTTGTGTGGGTTTTTTAAGGATAACATATCATAGTGCTGAAACTTCTAGAAAATGTATGGCTGGTCTCTATAGCTTGAATGATGATGACTTCTTTAAAGTGTTAACTTTTCATGTGGGCAAAACCAGAAAGCACAGGGAATACCTGGTAACCATGATTTCAAAATCTAGTGAAGCACAGCTATTACTGTGGTTGGTGAAGTCTTTTTAATCTGTGCTCTTGTAAGGTTGAAAACGGTCAGTACAACGTGTTTATAAACAAAGTACTTGTTTCCTCAGCCCAAAACTCTAGGCTTGCTGTTTCCCCCATTGTGTTTCTTCCTTGATTTAAAATATGTCTAGGGATCACCTGTGTGATGTGTTCTTTGGTGTTTGTACAGAGAAGTGTAGAAGTTCTAATGAATAGGGACTGTCTCTTAAGTACATGTTTGTTATGAAGCAGGTTTCAAGGCATTCCGAGAACTACTTGTTGCTAATGCATTATTTAACAGCACCTTGATTTAATATAGCATAGGAGTCATCTTCCTCTTATGAAAATAAGCAATTCTAAAGAGAAGGAAGAAAGGCTTGTGTGGGAGGTGGAGGGGACCATTACTGTGGAGTGGTCTAGGCTTTGAAGGCTTATCAGAGATGTACAGCTCTTTATTTAGATATTCCAAATCAATAATCGTGCACCAACTGACAAAGCTGTGCCAGCGCAGCCCAACTGTAGTTGCATTTATATGAGCAAAATCCTTTTGTTAGTCTAGTTTATTCAATTTGGGTAACTGGTCTGAACTTGCCCTGGGGAATCCCCATAGTATATTAATTCCAGTTAACCCTTCATAGAAAATAAAATTTTATACCCCAGACTAGAGTTCCTGGTGATGGTATGAAAGCCCCAAAATAAACTTCTAGTTCTCTAGATATAAAATTCAGGTTTTCCCCCCTCTCTCTCTTATGACTTGGAATAATATTTTTTCAGAATGAAATCTAGTATACTGATAAGACGGATATGGTTACTGTAGTTCATGGTCTATTGTTGCTGGAGACTTAAAGTATAGCAGCATTATGCTGTGTTACAGTGGACTTAAAGATGTCTCTCATGAGTAAGTCTTACTTAGGACGTTACTAGAGATACTCAGTATGCTGACATAGCTTGTACTGTGTTTTCCCAGATGAGTTAGCAGTGTAACAGCATGCATTTGTAAAGAGCTCAGGTGGCAAGAAGCCTTTTCTTCTTAAGTTAGTCTCTTCCAATCTTTCATCTCCTCTAAACTTATAAGTTTTAAGTGCAGCCTATTCAATAGAATGGAGTGTATTTGATGAAAACATTTCAGGGGGTTAAAATAAACTATGAAATTGCATAGTTTTACTTCTGTCTTTATCTGCTTTACAATAGTATTGAGCATATAGCAAACTGTGTTAGGAAATAATAGCCAGATTATTAGTCTCTTGGTGTTTGCACCAACTATGTATAACATCATGCGGGGAAAAAATAATCACACATTTGAAAATCTGGCCCTTTGTATGGTTGCTGCAATAGGATTTAACTTTTACTCCAAGTTGAGAGTAGGGTTGTTGGCACTTTAAACTTTTATTACTGAATTATGTTTAAACATAATTGTTCGAAGCCAAACAATTGAAATTGATGCAGTGCGTGGAGAATTCCAGTAGCTTCCACACTTCCATACTTAACATAGCTGAAGAAAGATTTGAGAGACACGGGGTAGTCTTTCACTGATGTCATGATTAAGCCTGCTGCTTCTGACGTGCTGGGAGTTTCTCCTGCAAGCTTTTCTTTGCTTTTCTTGTAAGCACGTATGAATCATCCCTTCTGCCTTATTGTTAGTTAATGTTACTGCAATTGGAGTATTTCTAGAAGAGGGATGTTCCCAGATAATTCCTTTATTTGAAACTTCTGGAGGAAGGTGGGGTGTTGGAAGGTGTACTGTGTTTTACTGTGCTGTGTTTGAGTTAGCTTGCTGTTAATGTGCTAACAATGGAGTCCTTGTCTCCTTATTTTCATTCCTTTGTTTGTATGTGAGAACTCTAAAGCTTTTATTCTCCAAAAGGTTGTAATCAAATGTGAGGTAAAGGCTGGTCTGGAGGCTTGGTAATGTGCACCTTCACATCTATTGTGTGTAACCCAAGTATGTGATAGGGAGGCTCAAACTTTCAGTCAGTGAGTATTTTGTTCCATGTGCCCTTCTGTTCTACTTAAAACTAAACTTGCTAAATAAATTATTTAAAGTCTTTATGTCCACTGTAGGTCAGCAATAGAATTCACCAAAAAAGCTACCAACTGACTTTTGTTTTCTATTTTTTTAATGGTTAGTTTATTACCCTTTTAATTCATATACAAGCTGGTCTGCTTTTAGTAACCTGGCTGCTGCTATCTCTTAATTCCTTTTACCATCTTTGGTGTGTTGTGCGTGCCTGATATGGAGGTTTTGGAGTAATTTTTATCCAGTATTCTGTTTGCTTTGGGTCCTGCCCTTGTTGGGCAGAACACTAATTTTACCAGTTATGCTTGCTAAAATTACAATTTGTCTAGTCTACATCAAATGTGTACTCTTTTATTTGCACCCAGTTTAGTCTTATGCCTACCACCACTGAATCATTGCTAGCATTGTTTTTTACTAAGTGTTTGTTATATAGGTGATTTAGGAGACTGAAGCTTGAGTGGACTAGGGACCTGGGTTTTTTTTATTGAATGATCATACTGACTAAATGCAAATCCTACCCCGAAAGTACAGCGCCAGTGATTAAGTGTTTTTTTGCGTATCTTCTGAATCTTGTCTGTTTTATACCCTGTATACAACTACATTTTAAAAGACTGTGCAATCAAGATTTGAGTCTTGATCATGCAGGCAAATCTTCTGAATGCTCTTAAGGAGTAGTGGCTGGTTGCCTCCTTACCTAAAGAGAGATATAAAGAGCAGAATTGGCTTGAGATCAGCTCACTAAAGCTTTACTGCACATACAGTTTGTACTGAAAAGCAGCAGCCTTTCTTAGTAGTCTTCAGGCAAAGTGGCTTTTTAATTTCTTGTCCAAACAACTGGGAATCCAAAAACTACTGTCTTGCATAGGTTGACCATAGCTGTATAACAATCTATACATACCGTTCTAAAGTGCACTGAAATTTCTTTGAAAAAGTTCCAGGTAGTCACATACCATAGGAGGTTAATCGTAACCTTGTTTTTGAGTCACCAACATCAGTGCTGGGTATGAATTTGGCTGTTTCCATAAGCATGTAAGAATCTGCAATTACTTTTGCACTAGTTTGTCACCTTAATGCTAAGCTCCCATATTAGTGAATGCTTTGACCTAAACAGAACAATGAAAACAAGTTTTGCATGTTTTATCAAGACCAAAAATAGTTATAACTTGGGGGGCGGGGGGGAACAGCTTAAACTGACCTTTTTATGCCACGTCGAAATTATTGATGTAGTTTAGTGCACTTTTAATTCCGTAACATTTCTGGTTTAACATCCAAATCATTCTATTGCTTGAGGATATTAGACTTCCATATTAATGATGTAAGATATATTTTGTTGTAGTTTGGAGCAGAATTTCGACGATTTTCTCTGGAGAGATCCAAACCTGGAAAGTTTGAGGAGTTCTATGGATTGTTGCAGCATGTGCACAAGATACCAAATGTTGATGTTCTAGTGGGATATACGGATGTTCATGGAGACCTGCTGCCTATCAATAATGATGACAATTATCATAAAGCAGTTTCCACAGCCAATCCTCTACTCAGGATTTTCATTCAGAGAAAAGGTAAGTGCACTTGAAGTCTGTGAATCATCTGTTTATCCAGTTATACTGTGTTGCGGTAAACAGTGTGATGTATGGAGGAAAAAAACCCTTCAGTCCTATTTCATCATGTTGAATTCCGTAATTATGGATCATGAATGGTATTCACAACTCATCTCTCTTGCAAGAGCTTCCTCGAGCAACCTATTTATACTTTGTGCTTTTTTGCTTGTATTTAGTTCAGTTAGATAAAGTCAAGTTAAATCTCTAGCAAATGCTTCTTTCTGGTTTTATGTAAGCAAATGAAAATAAGCTTTAAACTTCTAGGGTTTTCCGCTCTGTATGTTGGATGCCTTTCACTTAAAATTCTGATCTTGATCAGACAAGAAGAGTGGCCATTACAGGATGGAAAGGAATCTTGGAAGTCTTATTGCATGAAGTATTAAATGTCAGTATAAATTAAAGACTAACTTTGTAATATGCTACTCTTATCACACTTTCCTAATAAAACGTTCTGAAGCTTTCAAAATGACAAGCTTATTTCAGTTAGCAAACCTCAAATGTGAGTGCTGCTCAGTTTGTTGATTTGCCTTTAAAAATAGCATGTCTTGTAGGCACAAAGTTCGGGTTGTCTTTTTCTAGTGTCTGCTTTTGTTCATGAAGGAAAAAAAAATCAAATTTGAAGTTGTATTTGTTCTTGTCCAGGAGAACATATTCAGTACATGGAACTGAAGGGGAGGGGAGAAATCTAGTGATGTGATTTGAAATTGTTTTAATGCAGAGAAGTCAAGAGAAATCCAAGAAGTGCAGAAAGCAGGTTCTGCTTACTTGCATACAAGTGTGAGTGTGCATGCATTGTGTGTATAGATGTATACGAACACATGCATGTGCAATTCCTATCATAATAAGGCAGTCAACTGATCTTTGAACAGCAGACAGCTTCTTGCTTAACTATTTTATAAAGATGTGCACTGTTTCTGGTTGTTGCTAAGACAGGCTTATTTTCCTTAGAAAATACTTGGGCATCGGAAGCTTTTATCAACTTTCCCACTCCAAAAAATGAACAAGCTCCGCAACAGCCTGACACAAAAACAATATTCAAAAATAGTGTGGCTGCTTGCCAGCTGCTGTGCTGCTGACAAAATGTAGTTTTGTTTGTATTGAGGATAGTATAGTCTAGTAAGGCCTATGTTTTCAGTCCTGAATTGCCAAAGGAATGAACTATTTGCTTTAATAGAACCTAGAGGTGGAAGAGGTCTATGATTCCATTTAGTCTCCTACAGCAGCCATATGATGAGAACGGATAAGCCACTTTGTCAGACCGGGATTATTGCGTTTATATTTTAACACCATATGTTTTTAGATTGTTACAAGTGTTACATGTTTAATGCTGACTGTTACTAGTGTTACATTTGTAACACCTTATACCTTCATTGTACCTTTATTTAAAGCATGAGGGATTACTTCTTATTACTCTGGTACGAGGAATTGATAATAGAATTTATATAATGCACAGAACTAGAAATAAGATTAACCCACTTAAGTTTGTCATGCCAAGAATTGATAGCAGGAAAAGCTATGTAGAAAGTATCAGTTGTCATCACCTTCCCTTTGAGACTAGAGTCTTTTGGCTATATAGTTTTAGGGAATAAAGAAGCCAGGCTGGCATCTGAGTCCAGCACTGTACTTTGTTTTGAATTAATTGTGACCACTTTGATAATTTCTGTTGATTAAATTGAGGCTTTGATTCCATTAGCATCTTTGCCATATAGAACAGTGGTTTGTTTGATGGAAAATAAGAAAATAACTTAATTCTGTATTTTACTTGTAATAATTTGCCTGTAACTAAAGCTGAATTGCAGGAGTTAGAGATGTGTCATAATTTGTGCAGCATAATTTGTTTAGGTGTGATTAATTCATCCGATCGCACAGATCTTTATTGGCTGCACCTCTGAAATTGAAAATCAACTGTCTGAACAAATACCTGCTATTGATGGGGCAGCTTTGAGCTGTGCTGTTTTGGAACTATAATAAGTGACACATGTCACTTTTCCACCTGCAAGGCTTCTCGTGGCTTTCATACATTCTCTTAAATCATTTGAAAGATTTCTGTGGGTTTTCTAATGGAACTTTGCCTTTTTTGTATTTCCAGCAACAGTAGTTGGAAATTTAAGATCTTTGGCAAAAAGCCACTGTGGGGAAGAGAGAAAGTTTTTGCTGCCTTAAAAGATAGGAAATTTTATTATACTGTCTTACCTGTTTAGAAGCTACATGCAATTTGTGGAAAGCTAACATAAGGTATGAGCAGACTACAATAAAATCTAGGGTAAATAGTATTAAGTTCTTAGTATACTGCATCCAAGGAACACCTTAAGGGGTTGAAATGGGAGCAACAAGATGCTTTTGCAATGTTATTAATAAGTGACAATTGTGATAATGTGACTCCAAAACTTGAGAATTTTTGTTACGCCAGAGTAAGCACTCTTCTCTTAGGTTCGATTTTTACTCCTAATTTATGAAAGCTAGAAAGTTGTCTGTCCTAAGCATTTATGTACATTGGTTAATGTGGTAAGAAACCTAGAGATCTTGTAATGAAATGAAATCAAATCACGTTATTCCCCTTAGACTCTTCTAATTGTATTTAACTAAGTTACTTTAAAATATTTTAAACTGCTCCAGTGCTAAATCTAAACTGGAGCTTGATATTGCACAAGTCAAGAATGGCTATCAGTTTGCACAAAACAGTTGCTTACTGGAATTTCGTTCTGCAGTTTAACAGATTAACAGGTATTATTGACATCTGGAATTGGAAGGTTAAGCTGATGTAGCATGATTAAATCCAGATGTATGGGAGTCGCTCTTTCTGTGAGAAAAATCTTACTGAAGATAGTAGTGGGGGGGACATAGTCCGCACAGGCCCTGAAGGGCAGTTTGATGTGGGGGACTTTGCATTGTAAATACAAGAGTAATAGAGATGATAACTTAACAAAAGATATTTATTTCATTACAATGTCCTTAAACTCACTTGCAGGATATTAAATTACAATATACAACTCCTGCAAGTGCTGCATGTACATGGCTGTACATAGTAAAAAGTGGGTTCTTTGGTTAATTCATTTGTGCCTCTTGAGATAGACTTTTTCTCTGAGAAGCTTTATTTTGATGAAAGGTAAGAGGAGTTGGCTTTTTAAACTATTTGTATGGAATATCCTAGCTATTCTGAGTTATCTTCCTAAAAATGTAGGTTAGTTTCTTAAAACCATGTTTTGTTATAACTTGTGACTAAATAGGAGACAGGATTTGTTGGGGCTTATTTAAAAAAATGCTAAATTGCATCTGTATTCAAATGTACTAATGATTGGGGGTTTTGAAAATTTAATTCTTGAGGGGTAACTCTACATTGCTTTGCAAATAGGTCAGGAAAATATTTTAAATTTGTCTTGAGCAATGTTAAATTGAAAGCAGATTTGGCATTTGTGGGCTTTTGTTTTAAGTTTCATGTAGTAAGTATATATAGATTGGTGCCACCTTGAGCTTGAAACTGCTGGGGAAAAATCATTCTTGCACTATGTGGATGTTCTCTGTAACACTATCTGTAGTTAACACCTTGTCCTTTGGCTTTATGCCAAAGTATTTGCCTCTGCAGCTTTAAACTGATTAGCTAGGTGCCAGAACAAAGATGCTTTTGTACTCAAGAATATTGCTGTAGAAAATTTGTTTAGCGGTGGAAGAGAGGTTAAACAGAGTCACTGCTGCTTGGCTGAGATTTGGAGAGATGAGTTTTCATCAACCTTTCACTATTTCTTTTTCCCACAAATTATGTAAGTTTAGCTGTATATCTTAAGGTTTGTGCTAGTTTTGAATTTTTAGACTACTAAGCCTAGTTACAATGCAAAACAACTACCCTCTGGTGCTTTATAATTTCTTAAATGTTTTTACATATGGCTTGCAATTTTGGGATGCTTTTACTTCAACAATGTGTCATGTAACTTAAGAAGTAAGTTTCTAAAAGCAAAAGCACCAGCTCAATGTTAAGATTTCTGATTGTATATTTGTCTTCTGAAAGAGACTTTTTAAAGTTCATGTCTCTTCCAATGAATGTTTCTCTGATCTTAGTTTTTGTTTAAAAAGCACTTTTGAATCTGTTAGTTCACATACAGATATATTTACATAATATCTCTTTCAAAGCCAGTCTTTTTGCAACTGATCTTCATGTTTCTCTACTAACTGTGGAAAAATTTGGTTTGGACAAAAATTTTAAGCCTTATCAGGTGGTAGTTGTAGGAAGGCAAGTTGGGGGGTGATTTTTGTTTGCTCATTTCTTGTTGGGGAAGGAAGTTGTGAATAATTCTACATCTAACTGTCGAGTAAAGAGCACAAACTTACTGTGATCGTTTGCAGGACACAGTAAATCTATTTCTTGGATGTAATAAATGTGTATATGTTTGTATATCTAGTACATGGCAAACTTACCATGTAGGCACAGAAGGTCTGAGTGGCCCAAGAGGGATCCTGGTATGTGGCCTACTATGAAGGTGAAGAAGCTTTACAGCCCACTGTGGCAAGCTGGGAATGTCGAATATGATATACATTTGATATGAGAGAATGTGTAAAATACCAGATACTCTGATTCTTTGACAAGAATCTGAGTTTGTGCACTTTGAATTTAAGGAGAAAAATTAAAAAACTGAATACCTTTTAATGTTGCAGTGCATGTGGAAGAGCACTTGTAAGAAAATGAATACTGACAATGTTTTGATACACTGTTTTCCTGTGTACTGTTTCAAAACCAACTCTTGTACTAAGAGCAGTAGAAACCTAGTGCTTCACTGGTACCAATGTGTTAGTACCTATATCCTAGAATTTTCATCAGCAACTTGCACTCTAGCACAAATAAATTGTGCATGTGCGATTTTCCTATCTTTTTTAGATGAGCTTACTCTAAAAAAAAAGAAAAGGCATAATATGGCTTAAGGTCTGAACAATATGGAACTAATCAGTTGAAATGGTTTCAACTTACTCATTGGCTCTCTGGAGAACTTCCCAAAGCACAGAGCTCTTCTGGAGCAATGCGGTGTTAAATGCCTAGAAATATGTGTCACCACTACAAACCAAAAAAGTGAAACTTCTGAAATGAGGCAAAATGACATGTCTTGTCCATGCAATGTTACTCTGGTCCTTAGAATACTCTTCTCTGGTGTTGTTGAATTTACCATTGATTGTGCAGCCTTAAAACCAGAGTTCTAAAGTATCGGAGAGCTATACTACTTAGACATGCACTGCACAAAAAAGTTTTTATGTAGTTTTTGAGATCACTAAGATGCATACCAGCTGCTGGTGGGGGAGGGGGAAATCCATGACCTAAAAAAATAGCCTTTGCACTCGTTAACATTCTTAATTCTAATATTCAAGTCACCATTGTCTATTGTTTGTCTAAACCCTTCACCTATACTACCACTTTCTTGCTGTCATTGTGTTACTTTGTATTTAGCAGTAAAAGATATTTAAAGCAAGACCCTTCTGTCTAGTATCTTATTTCACAATTGCCCTTTCCAAGTTGTTTTGTAAGCGATTGTAGTTCCAAATAAAAGAGAGAAGCTATTGCAACTCATTGAATTGCAAAAATCCTCCCAATGTAACGACCAGATGTCTAACTTGAAACTGGTTGGATGGGTTGTCAGTAGAGATAAGGGCAAAACTTCTCACACTTTTTTTCTTTGATTGTAAGTTTTAAGCAAACATTAAAAGAATTGCTCCATGTTGTCTGAAAAATCAGTATGTTAGTTTTCAGCAATGGAGTACAGGATTTTTAATGGCTGATCTTCAGTTAGTTAGATATCCCAAAATGCGTTTTACAGACAAAATGGTAAGTTTGCATTTTTGGAGGTGTTTTACACTTCAGACATGGTCCACCTATTATGCTTTGGTTTGGGAGGTTGGATTGTTTTTTAATCAACCCACTCTTCAACACAACTGACAACACTCTTTAGGCATCTGAAGGACAGGTTTTAGGCTATTTCTAAAGCCTTCTTACTTGATGTTGAGATCTAATGTTATTTTAATTTAACCTTAAATTACAATTTTTTTTCTCCTTAACCTCTTTTGCGGAAGAACAATAATTCCATGCTTTTCTAAGAGAACCTTTCAGACTCCCAAATAAACTAAAAATTATTTCCTGTATTCACAATGATCTAATTTAACGTTCTCAAGAATAGCTAGTGTAGATTCTTCTGTTTGCTTCTACTTTCCTACTCTTCCTTGTACAATTCATAGAATTATAGAACAAACCAAGTTGGAAGGCCTCAAAAGATCATCTGGTCCAACCTTTTATGGAAAGAGAGCCTAGATGAGATTATCTAGTACCCTGTCCAATTGCATCTTGAAAACCTCTAGTGATGGGGACTCCACTGCATCCCTGTGGAGGTTGTTCTAGTGATTGATTGTTCTTACTGTTAAAAAAGACTGACTTATATTGAGATGAAACCTCTCCCAATGCAACTTGTACCCATTGCCCTGTCTTCTCCATGTGTCTTTGTCCTCTTGGCAGCCACCCTTTAAGTACTGAAATACTGTGGTGAGGTTCCTCCTGAGCCTTTTCTCCAGAGAGAAAAGACCTAACTCCTTCAGTCTTTCCTCATAGGGCAGGTTCGCCAGCCCTTTGATCATCTTCGTGGCCTTCCTTTGGACCCTCTCCAGCCTGTCTACATCTTTCTTGAATTGTGAGGACCAGAACTTGACGCAGTACTCCAGGTGCAGCCTGACAAGCGCTGAGCAGTGGGTTGATGACATCTCTGTCTCTGCTAGTAATGCTGCTGTGGATGCAGCTCAAGGATCCAGTTTGCCCTTGCTGCAGCAGCGCACTGCTGAATCATGTTCAGCTTGTCCACCAGGATCCTCAGGTCCCTTTCAGCAGGCTGCTCCCCAGCCACACAGATCACAGCCTGTGCTGGGCTCTTTGGTTATCTCATCCCAAGTGCAGGACTTCACACTTGTCTTTGTTAAATTTCATACTGTTCTTGCTGTCCCAGTCTTTGATTTAGCTTCATTTTTACCTGCTGATCCTAAGAAGGCAGGGAAACAGATTTTGCAGAGGCTGTCTCACTGGGTGAAATGGGAGAGAAAAGTCCCTAGGGTGCTGTTAATATGCACTTTCTCACATAAAGTGAGAGCACTGTGGGGTGTCTGTGCTAAAGTAACACATGTGGAATAATTTGTGTTAGTGCTGCCTTTGTTCATTCAGTAACTCTTGCAGAAACACCAGTCTGGGTGAAAAGACGGCCAAATCTGAGAAACAGTAAAGTAAAAATTAACTATGCAAGGTGGATATAATATTCTAGAGAGGCCTCCATGTCCTCCCAAAGTAACCGAGATTGTCACAAAAGCAACTCCAGAGTATAGTACGGCTGTGTAGACTTGGCTGTCTTCAGAAATAATTCCTGTTTGTGTCAATTAAATTGTTGAACAACTTTATCTGTAAACTTTAATACAAAGCTATTCTGTCTTTAGCAAACAGCTTTGCCTCGCTTAAGGTGTGATTATTTTTTTAAACAAAAAGTATTAAGAAATGTAAATGAGGCCATCATCAGGACACATTTTTTAAACCATGTTGATGAACTACTTTATTACTATTGTGTACACACAAGTTAAAAGTTTATAATAAATCTGTTTGGGTTTTTTTGGTGGGCTAATTTAAATTTGTTTCTTTTCCTGTTGTCCTTTATCTTTTAGAATACCAAGTCCAAGGCTGCCTTCGTAGACCAATCATTCTTAATCTCTTATTTTCAGCAGCCCTAATGTCTGGGGAAGGGAGGGGCTAGTATTACATGTTGGAATGGTGTTAGACTATTGCTTCGGAACTACTTTCTCTGTTCTGTTTTGCTTAAAGCATCTGTAAAGTCCAGATATAACTGGTACATGTCCATATATCTTCATCTTAGCCTGGGGGGGGGGAGGAGGAATCTTCTGACTTACTAACTCTCACTGCATGCTTTTTTCATCAGCAATTGACAGCTCTCCTGAAATTTCACGCTAGGGTAGCATTTCTGTAGTTACTTCAATTCACAGATTGAAATGTATAGCAACTCTTTTACTTTCTTGGCTGTACCAATGGCATCTTCATGTGGTAATACAAAGAAATTCCAACTTCTCTGAGTTGCAGGGTTAGCGCAAACCAGTTCTGCTTGATTTTTTTTATCCACTGCAGGAAAAAAAAATCTGCAGCATTGCAAAAATACGTGTGTAAAGTCAAGGAGACTCAGATCTGAATATGTTTTGGTTCATTGTTTTTGGAGAGTTATAGCATATTAAAAAGAAAAATGGAAGCTTCCTTTGGTAAATAGGCATTTCAGACATCAGAATTGCTTCTGCAGAACACATTTTCTTTTCCATTAGAAGTATTTGTATGATTTGCATATGTTTTCTTTTTTAAAATTCTAAGCCATTTGCATACTTCTGTATCAAATTGTGGCAGTTACAGCATTGCTTGTATGAACGGTTTTGCTTGAGGTGTTTGTGTGCAAGATCTCTCCGTTTCTGCTCCACAGCCATTTTACCTACATTGCATGGGGGGCAGGGAAGACTGCAGAATGGAATAAGCTTTCTGGAGTTTGAATCCAGGTCACTTGGCTAGCTTCCAGGATCTAGGCAGTAATAGGCACGCTGGCTGCTTTCCCTTTTTCATTCTTTTTTCCAATGATCTGAAACCTGAGGAGAGAAAACTAACAAGTGGAATTACTGTGAATAAAATTAAAATGTTTCTAGGAACATGCTCACTCTTTCCATTCTAACCTTTTTCTCAAGCAGCTAGAATATAGTTCTTTGTGTCTCTACTGCTGCTAACTTGCTTTAATTTTTTTGTATACGGTCTTTCCTTTGGTAGTAGGAAACCAAAAGTATTACAAACTTTGAATCTCATAACTTTAAAGCTCTTGTTTCTTGCGTAGAGAGAAATGTTTCTACTGTAGTAAGCCAGATACCTTCTAGATTAGATATTTCATTCTGCTAACCTAAAACACGATAGCAATGCGATATGGACCACATATAAAGTGATCTAATCAGCAATGTGCTATGTCTTACAGAAGATGCAGACTACAGTGCCTTTGGTACGGATACTATGACAAGGAAGAAAAATGTCTTATCAAATGTGTTACGTCCGGATAATCACAAGAAGAAACCACACATTGTCATTAGCATGCCACAAGACTTCAGACCAGTGTCTTCTATTATAGATGTAGATATTCTTCCAGAAACCCATCGTAGGGTACGACTTTACAAATACGGAACTGACAAACCTCTTGGATTCTACATACGAGATGGCTCTAGCGTCAGAGTAACGCCACATGGATTAGAGAAAGTTCCGGGGATTTTCATATCTAGGCTTGTCCCTGGAGGTCTGGCTCAAAGCACAGGCTTACTGGCTGTCAATGATGAAGTACTGGAGGTGAATGGAATAGAGGTTTCAGGAAAAAGCCTTGATCAGGTTACAGACATGATGATTGCAAACAGCCGTAACCTGATCATTACAGTAAGACCAGCAAACCAGAGAAATAACGTTGTGAGGAACAGTCGGACTTCTGGCAGCTCCGGTCAGTCTACTGAATCTAGCCTTCCAAGTAGCACACCAAATATTTTAGCAAATTTCTTGCAAGGAGAAGAGGAGAGCGATGAAGAGGACATTATTATTGAAGATAGTGGTGAGCCACAGCAGATTCCAAAAGCTGCACCTACCAGCGAAAGCCTAGAATCGTTGACACAAATTGAACTCCTTCATGAGTCAACACAAAATGGATTCCTTCCTTCCAGTGAGATGAACTTGAATCATTCAGCTGGCAGCATTAGCATGGAATATGAAGTACAAGATCCAGATCATAAGTCATTAGAAGAAGATGGAACTATAATAACGCTATGAAATTACATTGGTGTACTTTCTATTAAGTAAGGATGCCATATGTGTTTTAATTTGGCTTAATATGTAATACATTTTATACCTCTCCATCTACCGAGCACTGCAGTTAGATTAAAAGGAGGGAAAAAAGTAAATACAAGAAGGTCAAAATTATGTAAGTTGACTAACTTCAGTCAGTTCTGCGCTTCAATGTAAATACTTCACAAAGATAGAAAAAATTGGTAAATGACTGAAATTGGGTGAGGAGAATTTAAATTGAAAATGAAGGATAGCTAAGAGATGGCTGTGAGCTTTCTTTTAAAGGTACTTGATTTTTTTTAATGCAGAATACTACTGGTTCTACAGAAGTAAACTTCCATTATTGTGTGAGGTTGACTATCTAATGTACTGTGGTTTCGTGTTTATCTGAAGTGCTGCTTATGTATGATGGGGCTGCTTTAGCCACTTCATTCCTGTTCTGGACTGCTGTTTAGTTGGTAGAGCTGTTTGTGTGGCTCTGTGTATGAGGAAACTGAAAAATAAGTGGGAAGTGGGATGGGAAGAGTTGTTCTTGGTTGGTCTAGTTCCCTGACTGACACACTGAGCAACAGGGATATTGATAGTGGCCAGCAACTTGACAACAGTCAGGATTTGAAGGTGGGGGCTTCTGAAGTTGACTGTTCCTTTGTAAGTGAATGTGCAACCACGGGCACATTAGTCATGCACCTTTACCGTTTTTAACGGCCAGGTAAGCTTACTTTTAATGACTATGATTTTGAAATTCAAATGTGAAAGTCTTAACACTTACGTATCAAAGACCTGTTCTCATTTTAGTTTGCAGTATTTAAGGATATCACTGGATTTAGTTGCTAATCCCAGTAAATTTCAAAGAAATAAAATGTAAACTTAATGCTATGGAAATAACAATCTATGTTAAAATTGCAGTCCTAGTAGAAGCTGTAAAGATTTCTACTAGGAAGGGTTTGTAGTGAGTCTGAATTATGTAAAAAGTGACTTTCTTCAAACCTAAACAAGTTAGAACAGCTTAAATTAAATCCCTGGATTAAAAAAAAAGTTTTAAGTTAGAATGAGGCTTTAATAGAACTTCCTTGAGCCACGTGATATTAAATTGTTCATTATAATGAACTAAACTGTAAATGCTGATCTTTCTGTGTGCCACTGGCCGGGTGTGTTGAATATTACAAAGTTGCTATATGTGAAACAAAATACTGGTGACAAGTCCTGATACTGCAAGTGTGTAAGTATGTGTGTAATCAGACTTACTAGTAGTATTGCAGGGAGAGGGTGCTAGCATTCTTTTTGTCCTTTCCTCTTCTAGTATCTCGTGCTTTACTACTTTGGCACTCAGTTCCCAACCCGACCCTTCTCTGGGAACATAAGTTGTGGTAGGAAAATGAGACGGGTACTAATAGGGCTGGGGAGAAGGATGGATGGAGCTTCTCACCAGGGATCCAGCAGTCTATGTCAACCTCTAAGAAAGAAGTAGGGTGCTACCAGTTCTGTACTGTGGTACTGTGATTACCAGAGCCAGTAGTCTAGGTTCTTGGAAGCATGTTCTACCTTGTGGGGAGATATGAGCGGGAAAGGAGACTAACCCCTTTTTTTTTTTCCCTCAGTCTATCTTGGGGAAACATCTACCTCTGGTAATTTTACTAACAAGAGACTAACTGTAAGTTTAACGTTAAGACATCTGTAAAAGTCTTTATAGGATATCAGAGGCTAAAACTATCTTTTAAGATTTTTGTAATGATGTAAACAAAATTGCTTCAGTTATTACTGCGGTTTAATTTTACAAAATGCAAATTTTAAATTCATCTCATGAGCAGTAGTATATTTGAGCCTTCAATACCATTGGAGTTCAAGCCTCATAGATGTCAAGAAAGATTGTATTCATGCCCTTTTTTATAGATGGAGAGTTGGTGTAACAGACAATGGCACTCTGCAAATAGAGGTTAGAGTTCTGCTTTGCTGGATTTATTTATGGTTTCTTCAGTGTGCATATGGAGAGGCCCTGGAATCTTTTCCAACATGAGCAGGAATTTTGAAGTGTTTTACTTATTTTGCTAATAATTATTAAAAATGAAGTAACTGCATCCACTTAGTGTGAGATGAGAAAAAGAAATGTAGATTTTTAAACAGACATGTTTTCTGTCAGTGCTGCTCTGCACTTCCTTTATTTAAGGAAGGTTGTTTACTTTAAAATGTCTTCTTTTTTTCCTTCTATCAAAAGACTTTTCTTCCTGTATGAAATCATCAGTGGAGGGTGACTTTCATTTATTATGCTAGTTTGCACTTCTGTGCCTTTCGTTTACTTGAATGTATTGTGAATAATCAAAGGAATAAAGGCACTTGGATGAGAAGAGAAATGATGTCCACAGATACAGAGAATGAACTGGTAGTGCACTTAATACAGGTGCAATGTTTTCATTCAGTGGAAATACATTATGGGTCTAATGTGGTACATTAGTATTTTGCAGCTTGGATAATAGCTTTGAGCTATTAACTTACACAGGAGGGTTGAGTCTGAGAATGCGTGTTGCAAGGTAACTTACTGCTTAGGTACAAACACCCAAGGTTAGTGTGCTGCCAAACTCTGTGTTACCCAATCTGTACTTATAACAGATGCATGAATATTTTGAATATATATGCCAGTATTAAGGACTTGTAGAAACTTAACTAGGGTCCTACTCTAAATTGCATGAGAATTCATCTCTTGGGACCCTTCCTGCAAACTGATTAATCTAAATGTGAGATAATATTCTTTTTGACGCATGTCATGTTCTGTTTTACAGAAATTTGGTAACATGCAGTAAAACTAAGCATTTGGGACTTGATAAAAATATTAAAGAATAAACCTGAAAATGGGTTTTCAAAAGTGTGTATTTACAGTTACAATGACAGACTGCACAGCATGTAATTGCTTAATGCTGCAGTTACCATAAACTTTATAAAGTTCTTCCATATCTTACTAATGCATACACTGTTAATCACAAAATATTTTTAAATTGTTACTTCAGGATGATCAACAGTTGATTATGAGTAGCTAAACTTAATTTTATATATAAATGGTACTGGGGTTCAGTATAAGGTTTTTTAAAATATGCTGATATTGTTAGCCTTTCATTCACTACCTCCTAAATTTTTAACATCTTTACAATTTTCTCCTTGGAAGAAAATACTTAAAGGCTTGACTGTTTTATATAGTTTTTATCTTTGGCTAAAAAAAAAAGAAAAAATCCGAAAGTGATAGTGAGGATGCTACGCATGATTGACAATATTACGCTGCTATTAATGTAATCTTTGTGTATTAAGTATCCTGTATATGTAAATTGTATTTTCAATCCAGATTTTATAAATTAATTTATAAATATCCAAATTATTTCAAAATGGAATGGAAAACTAAAATTCCTTTGACTAGTGTTATATGTTGTGTACATGCACAGTGGGGGGGGAAGTCATTCCTTACTTGCGACTGGGAGATTTAAGTGCACCTTAATAGGAAAAAGAACAAATTCTTAATAGAATTAAGATGCATTTACTTTGAAGTTCTGCTATGGTACTGGATAAGTCAAGCCTAACTGTGAATCATGTTTTTTCCACAGCTGAATTAAATTTAGGACAATGTTCTCACAAGCTGTCTTTAACATATGTGTATTTTTGTGAATATTCAAATATTTTCTAATTAAATTTTACTTGCAATGTGATTTTTACATGAATGAACTTGTTTAAAATGTCAAATATCAGTATTTTTCTTATAACTTTAATGTATAATGTACATTGGTATCTCACTGAATGAAGATTGATTTTACAAAATCAAGCTAGATGTAGTTGTATATTAGTCTTATATTTTTACAGACTGGAATAATAAATGGATATAGAAATAAAATGTTTCTTTCTCAATTACTTTGTCAGATAAGTAAAAATGAGGAAGAATGTCTTACTGTCAAGTGTGAAAGTAGATGGGCTTCATTTTTTTCCTCTTGGGCAGCTAAGTGGGCTCTTTTCATAGCAGTCTTAAACATTTGCTTCCTCTGCTCCCTTCTCTAGTGCAAATCTCTACATATGGAAAGTATGCAAGAGTTCAAAACATTTGTCCTTCGGTCCTGTTGACTAACCTGCGATGTGCTTATTCCTACAGTAGCTGCGAACAATGAATCTTACGTTGTATCACTTGCCCGAGGACTGCTCATAGTAAAGTTTAGGTCACGAGGCCTGGGAGGTGGTTCTTCATCCTCTGTCACCTTTGTCAAGTGCTGCTGCTGATGTGGAGATTCTCACTGTTACTGTAAGTATTTGGTATAACTGTCCGTATTAAAGTTTTAACTTGAACCCATTCCACTTGCAAATGTTTTCTCCCATATCTAATGCCTTGGCAGCCCTTGTAGACATTTACCTAGTGACAAAAGACTTGAGTTTTGTTTAGCCCTTTTGCGTAGGGCTCTTGTGACTGCTGGTCTCGGCGCCAATCATACAACTTCTATTCTGTACCTTCCTTCATATATGTGTGACTAGTTTCATTTGTATGGTTCAGTACTTTTCATACTTGCCTATGTAGCTATGGGAAGGTGACAGAAAGGCTGAGAACAGCACTACAGTATCTTAATATTGGTAGGCAGCTGAAAGAACCCAGTCTACTTCACCTGTGCACTTGAGTCTGAATGTTTTGTAGCTGGAAGAAATTTCTTTACTTTGCACAGAAGCTGACGGCTCACCCTTTTCCTAAAGGAATGCTGAAATTGGTGTGGTATTGTTGAAATGGTGTGAGCTTCAAAAATTCATCCTGCCTGTATTAAAATTCAGGTGTAGTATTTTTCTAACTTCAGAACTTCTATCCAAATGCATAAAACTATGAAACTGGGAGAGATTTCCAAGTTACTGACTCTTTAACATGTGAATTGTTGTGGGAGCAAGTAACTTTCTAGTATTGCTGCTGAAATTTTTCAAGTATCGGGTATTTTGAATAAATCAGATACGAAAAAATGAGAGGAGCAAAATGTGAAGGATTGCAGACGGGCTGCAAGATTGATTAGACAATAAAATGGCAAACAATTCAGTGTAGTTTAGGTGTGCATGTGTGGGGTAAAATCTGTCTTAATTTTGCACAAGTAATGACAAATGCCAAGCAAACTTGCCTCTCAGGAGCCCATCCTGGGCTCTGGTAGTTTAGTGAAAACATTGGTCCCATACTTGCGAGCATAAAAAACCCAACTGTGTTAGGAAAGGAATAAAGGACAAAACTGATAACAATGTTACTGTATAAAATCATAGTTCAGCAATGCTTTTAATGTAATGTGCAGTTCTAATTGCTTCTTTTCGAAAAGTATACCAGACTGGAAAAAAGTAATGTCATCTGCATTATAGGATGTTTTTAGTATAACAAAACTGAGTAGTAGAGGACTGATCAGCCTGAAAAAGACTGTAAAAAGCAATAAAGCTGTGTGTAAACAGTTTTGTATGAGGAAATTAAATATCACGATGGATTGAAAAAGTGCAATTGAATATAATTTCCACTTATCAGCTTTGAGTTATTTGATTCATAGTGAATTTTATCTCCCTAAGAAGTAATTTTTAAGGTGGTCAAAAATATGTTGAATCTAGAGGACACTATTTCATGTAAGGTATCCTTCCACAGAATTAGTCTGGTGATGACCCGAACTCTCTGCAAATGCATCTCCTCCAGCATTCCTTGGCCTGGGACTGGCACTGAGTGTGGGGGGTACTTTCACTGAGGCTGGAAGTGCTCTTTGCAGCAAGAGTACGGACTTTTTAGCTGGACCGTTAGTATCCATTAATGTTTCTGTGCCTTCCAGCAAGCTTCCATGCCTGAGAGAATTTTTCCTAAGTAAAATCCACTAAGAATCAAGGGGGTGGGTTATTGCAGGAGCAAAGACTAAGGAATGTGTCCTCAGGAATGCATGTATCTATGAGGATGAAATAAGCTTGATAGGGTGCTTTAGGTTGGAAAAGAACTGAAAGAGTAGATTAATGCTAATATTGGCCTGGACTGAATCTGCAGTGGAGGCACAGTACAGAAGCTAATCTGAGACACTTTAAGGGAATGAGACTAAAATGCATACTCATGCAAGTCAGCAACACTATTTCTACAAATCGCTGTAATCCCTACTGGTAGTTTTCCTAAACTCAGAAACAAATTGTAAAGGAAGACAAACTGCTGCCTCCTTGAGGAGGGAATGCAACTGTTAAATACCATGCAATAACATGTCTGTCCTTTAAATGCCAACAGTACTTAACTTTTCTCAAGGTGATGAGCTCTTAACAAGATGTTAGGACTTCAGTTATGTTATGAAATTGAAAACTCATGTATGGTTGCAGATACAAAGACTTCCTGGGATTTTCATAAGTAATCAATTGAAAATCCTCCTCTCCTTGGTATAACAGCAGGAGAAAGATTTAGACTAGTGCTAAAGACCCCTTTGAAGTTTTCTTGTTATCTTAAAACTAGCTGTGGTGTTCTAGTTTCAGACTTGCCCGAATTACTTCTGATGAACATGTGTTCCTTGCAATGCAAATATCAATATTCAGATACTATTATGTAGTACTTGCATGTGGTAATGCTAGAGAGGAATAATCAGCTTCAAGGTAGCTTCATAAATGGCTTACAATATTAGCATGCGGAAAAATGCATTGGACGGTAACAGTGTTGTTCTTGGATGCTGTAGAAGTATGCAAGAAATGGTACAGCTGGTTCTTGGAGAGGTGAGATTGTAGCCAAGATTTAAGAATTCAGACTCCTTGTGCAGCTATGATAGATCATTTGTGTACTTTCCCTCTCAAATAGGAGATAAATTTGTCTCTGAGGACATAATGTAGTATGCTTGATTTTAAAAGTGCTTTAGAAATATGAAGCACAAAGAGATGTGAAGAAGTGCTGTGCTATTTAACCAGCATTTCTTATTACAGCAATTCAGAAGTGTTGCTAATAAGATATAATTTCCTGTCCTTCCAATTAACATTCCTTTCTACTACATTTTATTACCTGATAGTATAAGGGAATACCTTGCATTTCATCAGTGTGAAAGACTTGTATCAGGCTCTGTGATGTTATGCTCTTACATACTTTCTTAAACATATCTATTGCCCTCACATTTGCTTTCCACAGGAGAACGTGGTTCTTTTTCTCTGTGGTGCAATGACTTCTTCAGAATACTTTCTTTTGAGCACCTGGTAATACCTGGTTACTGATATGGCTTTTTTTTTGTAGTCACAGATGTGTTGGCAATGCTCAGAAACAAGAAACACAATTTGAGGAGCAGATGATGCGAAAGGAGCTAGAGAAGGTAGGGACATCATCCAGTGCAGGGGTTCATGCTTGTGTAAAAAAACCCATGTTGTTGGTGTGGTTACAACAAACAAAGCTGATGTGTATCATAATCTGGTGTCTAAATCAGTTCTGAAAAGAAGTGGCCTAGTTATCCACAGCTGCAAGACAAAATGGAGATAAGAGTAAAAAGTAGGGAGCAAATAGGAGATACGCTAATGAAGGAGGTAAGGGTCCCAGCATATTGCAGAAAGGAATACTTAATTTTGCAATAGCCAAAAGTTTGTCTATTATATTAAGCTGTATAAGCCGGTCAAATGAAAGATACTATGTCTACCTGCAAGCCTGGCCTCTCTCTTTAGACCCTTACAGCTGTAACAACAACGTCTAGGCACAAAAAGGGTATTCCTGTTGTGTGACACTGTAATTCCTACAAGGCCTTTCCTTTTTTTTTTTTCTTCTGCTGCTTTGCTATTGTTCTGGATATTGTGGACCCAGTAAAAAAAAAAAGTGAGGTTTTCCTCTTTCTGTTGGAGGATGCAAAGGATTTGGAATTCTTAAAACGCTGAGGGGAAAGTATTGAATAATAAACATAGATTTCTCTGACTTCCTGAATGCTACATAAGGTTACATGGACTTGTACTTCAGAAATTTTAAATCCTAATAGCTTAAATCCCCTAATAACCTTGTTATTAAGTCTACCTTCATACTCTTTCTATTCTGTGCTGTAAAATGAGAAAAGTAGGTATATTTTGCAAACTTATGAATAAATGAGCTAAAACTTAATGCAAAAAAATACTTGCAAAAGACAATTTGGGTGTTTAATGAAACATTGAAATGCTATTAACCGTCTTTCAAAAATACTTCAGGTGGTTAGTAACTAGATTTGTGTAAGGCAGAAAAATTGTTTGATTTTCTTTTCAAGTCATCCTGCAAAGTTAACATCTTGAAAAAATGAAGTAATTCAACATGTGGCTTTCCTTGTATTTTGACTGTGCTTTATACTGATAAACTGTTAGGATAGTGAAGATAGATGGGTTATCCTAACCTTACAGCTGAGATGCAGAGGTCACAAAGCCATTTGGTCACAGAAACAGAAATACAATGCACGATCTGTTCTTCTTAGCACTGTTTTCTCTTGAGAGATTTCCTCTACAGTAAATAATTCATGCCAGTGCTAAAGCTCACGTGGATGGCATAGTGAAATAATCGGGAGGAATCTTGAGTTGGTGTTATAGTTTTAAAGCACCTAAAGTACTCCCCCTGGCTCCTTGTGTTTCTTCTAAACATACCTCTTCACGCCCTTCCTCCTATGATAGATAACTTAGTTTTATAACAGTTAATCTGTGATATACAACAAGTTAGGAATATTTTATTCTGAGCTATTAAAGCTTCCCAAATACACTTTCCAAATCTCACTGAAGTCTTCTGGTGCATCTTTCCCTGATAGAAACACTTCTTTCAAAGATACAGAATACAAACCCTTGGGGTCTACAGCAGCAATGGTACCTGAGTGGCTGAGTAGAGAACAGGTCTATGTTGTGAACTCTGCAAATAACATAGCAAGAAGGCTGCCCAGACCTGGAGAGCCTCAATTGAAATGAGAAATAAAGTGCCCAGAGATGCAGTGTGTTTCTCCTCTATGCAGTGCTGGTCAGTGGAAGGTCAGGTTTTGCAAATACCTTACAATTTTTCAGATAAGAGGTTTTTAGTTGCCACAAGTGTAGCATAAAAGGGTCTCTCTGGTGCTATTGTCAGGATGACATAGACTAGATTCAGATCACTGTCTGTCCCTACTCTTGAGAAAAGATTTAGGGAAACCCTGCAACCTATTTGCTCTTGGTTCTGTTGCTTCAAATACCTCTTCAAGCCTGGCTGCTTTGCCAAATTTATAGTCTGTACAGTTTGCTGAGAAGATCGCTTTAAATTCAGTTTGGTGTTCTTAAGAAATTTCTCCCATTATTCAACAATAATTTGGTCTTATCCAAAGCCAAGAAAAGCTGTGGATGATGGTGCATGCCTGTTTTGGCATGCATGGAGCATGCACCTTCTGCTCTGCGAGCTCTCAAAAGTAGTTTTATATAGTATAAAATTCTAAAATTAGATAATGTCGCAAACTGATTAGTGGGAAATACTGCGTATTGCTTTATGTTCCTGCTACTACAGAGTCCACTTGTACTGAAGACTCATACTAGGGTCAAGATGCATGGGCCAAACTTCTGTTGAGGGCAGGCTGCTTCTGACCTCTTCCAACTGAGAATAACACTCTTACTGAGAAGAAACACACTGTTACTGAGAAATCCTCCCCCTGTTCTATCTACCAGTCCTTGACTGATCATCAGTTATCAAGTAGGTCCTGTTTCCTGCTCAGGGGAGGAAGAACAACGAACAAACTGAGAACAGATGGCTATTTTTGTCTCAACTGTAACTGCTGTCTTGATCATCTGTCCCTCTCGAAAATGTCACTTTGGTTTAAGAGCGTGTTTTAAAGGAGCCTAATGCAAGGAAGAGCATCTTCTGTAGTGAAGAAGCATCCAGAAGGCCTAAGAAGCATCTCTTTAACTACAGGTTTCCACAGGGAGTCTCCCATGGCTCCATCCTCAGGGAGAAGGACAGGATGTTTTTGTGACTTACTGTGTCAGGAGTTCTGCTCTGCCTAAGATAAAATTGAATGTCTCTAACCTCAAGTCATTTAAATACTCACCTTGCAAATGGCATAGAGAAATTCAGAGCACCTTAAAGCTGCATTTTCAGCTGCAGCCTTTAATTTCCCAGTGACTAAAAAATAGACATCGAGTCTAACACCGTCGAATCATTGAATGTCTTAATCTCTGGCTTGTTAAAGCAAAATGCTATTAGGAAAACTTGATTTTAAGAGCGGCCAATGAAATGCTCAGGGAGGGGAAGCCTTGCGCCTGTGCTGTGGCTTTACTTGGTGCTGGTTTTGTTGAACGGTTTTGCCAGGGGTGAGGTGTCACGACTTTAAACAAAAGCTTTCGCTGGACCTCTGCCCCTCGGCTCTCCGCAGAGAGCCTTGTGCCTCTCGCTCCCAACGCGGAACGCGAGGACGCGGGTGACAGCC